AAATGCAGGGGAGCACATGCCTCCCATGCCTCCTTGGGGGGTCCACGAAGTGGCCAGGAGGTGCTCCCCACCTTGCTCCTGGACAAGCTTCCTATGCCTTGGCCCAGCTGCACAGTGCCTGTCCTTGCCCCAGTACCACTCCCTCCCTCACCATGGGGGCCTCCATCTACCCGCCAACCCCTCCAAACCCTTACCAACAGGAGGCTGCTCTCCAAGCTGCCAGGTTGCATTCCTGGCTGTGTGTATGCATACAACATTTATTGGTGATATTATTGGCTGCACCAGCCAAAAGAGGCCGATTGCTAATGTTAATTTTCCTTTTACTGGTGCTGATATGATATAGACCAATATACCAGTCCACCTCTAGTACTATTCAGAGCTCATATGGCAGAAAACCAAGCCATTACAAATGCCAGATCAGACTGAGTAGGGTAGGGAAAGAATTGAGTCTCTCATTTGGCCATTATCTTCTTATCTATTAAAAAGCTGATTAACAATTTTACAAGTTAAAGCCAAACCTAGAAACCACCAAAGAAAGAGTTCTGGTAAGAATTTAAACTTACAGGGAAGGATGCTTTTTATCTGTCATACATTACTGGTGTATACACTGAAAGTGATCATGAGAAGCAATGTCAAAAGCTTCCCAAAAGCATTAATTCAATAGAGCGTCTAATACAAGAGGTTAATCATAACTACCAGCCATATTATTATGTGGCATTCAGATTATTCCCCAGAATTTACAAGAGCCATACACCAACATTTTCAAAAATAAGGTAGAATTAAACCCAGGTTTACTTCTACCTACCTGCTTGGTTGTCAGTGGGAGCTGTAGGACAAATAATACTTTAAAAAAGACTCATAAATGTTGATTTGGAATTCTGACTTCAGGCCATATTCTTGAAGGTCACTCTTCAAACCTGTCTCTACATGACCTCTAGAGACTTGGGTTCTAATTCCAGTGTAAGTTAAATGACTGACAACTTAAGTTAACATTTAGTCATTTCACAAATATTTGTTCAAGGACACATGCTTGGTGAATGGGAGTTTGCTCTCTTAGTGCTTTGGAGCCAGTCTGATATTCAAATACTACCAGATTCCTATGAATTTGCCTCTGGATGGAAAAAAGCAGTTACTATAGAAGACAGCAAAAAAGATTTCAGCTCAATAACTATGTTTACTGTGACAGCAGTGAAGAGCCAATGCTGACCAGAAACAACAAAACAAAACCAAAAACCAGACAGACAACATGCATGCACATACACAAACTGTGCACTAAGCACCTATTCTTGCTTATAAAATGTAACATTTCTGCAAATTTTGAAAGCTCCATCATCATTTCTTCTCCTAGAAAGACAAAACAGATATTTGGGGGTTCTCTGTAGTACTAACCCACTACAGAGTCTACTTTTTATTTATTTCTCTAAGAATGAGGAAAATATTCTTTATATTTCAGTTAGCATGTGGGAATAAACAGAGCAGTCATTTTTGAAGTATCAAGTCTATATTTCTGACTCAACAGATATACCTGCTATAATAGATGGTAGCTATATTAAGATACACAATGTTTTGCCTGTTGACAGCTCTCCCTAACAGGAAAAAACTTAAAATGCTGAAGATACAGGGCAGTAATACTGTTGATTTTAAACAGAAGTGGAAGTTACAGTCTCAGGGTTCAGATATAATAGGTGAACATAGGCCTAATATTATGATGCAGAAACAGAAGAAACTCATGTTTTGAGAGAAAAGGTTTGGGAAGTGAACTTCCCTATACATATTCATTCAGCATAGCACCACAGTAGTAAGCATTAATAGTAAAATCTGGTTATATTTAAAAAAACTTCCAGAAAAAACAGATTTCTAATTGTACACTATCACATAGAGGGCAAGTATCATAATTCTAAGCAATACTAATTAATCTGCAAACAAAAATAACGTAACTTAAACAGTTGAAGCTTGGAAAAATTATGAGTGCCCAAGTTTCTTTCCTTACAACATCTCTAATCAAAATGTGTGTCTGAAAGATCCAGTTTCTGATCTTTCACCACCATCTTCAGGTACTTCATTAAGCTGAAGATTTATACAAACTGACCGAGTTTCTCCAAACTTTTTTTTTTTTTTTTAAACCATGTGGACATATAGCAAAACACCGACCACTTTTCCCCTTGCCCATGTACTGTGGAAGATCATGGAATCAGGATAACTGGCTTCCTTTCTACTGGTGCAGAAGCAGTGTACTTAGCAGATTCCCAGATTACACTCAGGACCAAATGCCTTGCTATACTGAAAAAAATGCATCCAAAAAATGCATTTCATAGTTTCATAGTTTCTAGGGTCGGAAGGGACCTGAGCAGATCATCTAGTCTGACCCCCTGCCATGGCAGGAAGAGCACTGGGGTCAAATGACCCCAGCAAGGTGGTCGTCCAACCTCCTCTTAAAAACCCCCAGGGTGGGAGCCTGCACCACCTCACTTGGAAGCTGGTTCCAGACTCTAGC